ATGCATATATGAGGGAGACGAGGAAAGAAACTAAAGGTCAAATACAAACATGACAGAGACTGGGAAAGAAACAAAGGTCAAATACATACATGAAGGAGACACGGAAAGAAACAAAGGTCAAATACATACATGAAGGAGGCACGGAAAGGAAACCAAAGGTCAAATACATACATGAAGGAGGCACGGAAAGGAACCAAAGGTCAAATACATACATGAAGGAGACGCGGAAATATACCAAAGGTCAAATACATACATGAAGGAGACGCGGAAAGAAACCAAAGGTCAAATACATACATGAAGGAGACGCGGAAAGATACCAAAGGTCAAATACATACATGAAGGAGACGCGGAAAGAAACCAAAGGTCAAATACATACATGAAGGAGACGCGGAAAGATACCAAAGGTCAAATACATACATGAAGGAGACGCGGAAAGATACCAAAGGTCAAATACATACATGAAGGAGACGCGGAAAGATACCAAAGGTCAAATACATACATGAAGGAGACGCGGAAAGATACCAAAGGTCAAATACATACATGAAGGAGACGCGGAAAGATACCAAAGGTCAAATACATACATGATACCCAAAATGCAAGCAGAAGAGAAAATTAAAGACCAATTAATAAAATGGGCAGTGAACTAAATTAGATGGCAAATTAAAATTCAGAATTTGAAGCCAGCCGGCTAAAGTCGCATTCTCAAACAGGAGCTAAAGTCGCATTCTAAAACAGGAGAGTCGCATTCTCAAACAGGAGCTAAAGTCGCATTCTCAAACAGGAGCTAAAGTGCAGCAAACAGAAATCAGAATACGAGAACACTAGTAGCAAGAAGCATTATAGTATGTAGCAGAAAAAGGGGAAATATCTCTTCACCTATAAAAGTTATAATTATGACGATAATAATATTAGTAATTATAACTGTTGTTATCAACATTTTATTCAAAGATATACCTGATAACGTAAATGACTTTGTTGTCCGTTTGTGTATATTGCGTTGGATATATTCTTGTACCAGATGTTCAAGCTTGCTGTGTTTGCCGTGGCCTTGACCCTGGCATCGGCCAGCCTTGAATCTAACTGGCTGGTCTACAAGAAATCTCACAACAAGACCTACGCTGGAGACGAAGACTCAGTTCGACGCCTGATCTGGCAGTCAAATCTGCAGAAGATCGAGCAGCACAATGAGCTGTACGCACAGGGTCTGTCCAGTTACTACATGGGTGAAAATGAGTTTTCCGACATGGTGAGTTGACTGATTTGTGAGCTTGTTTGTCACTTTCTCCTTCTTCTTCAGGTGCTTTGAGTGGAACAAGAATTTACAGTCATGACATTCAAATTCTTTTTGCTATATTATTATTAAAAAATCTACGTGGAAGCGGCGGAGAAGTGGTTTTATAGACAAATGATGAAAACACTGTGGACAGATTAAACAAAAAAGTTGCTGAGAACTCTCTGGACAGTTAAAAAAAAAAGAAAAAAAAGTAATGACTCAGGAAGAAAACTGGTTGTCAATATCAGGAGACAATCTGAACTCTTTGGTCATGTTATGAAAAGGCGAACACTGGAGTACAAGGTGACGATGGGGAAACTAGTGGGGAAAAAGAAGCAGAAAAAGACTTTAAGAGTTGCTGGACAGTTTGACATTATGGCATGGAAGATCATAATTGTCAGAATTTATTGAAAGTACACGGGGGGAAAAGTTGCGGATAGGCACGACTTCTAATTGCAGGCAGCTGGGACTACCAGAGGAAGAAGTCAGTAAAGATAAATGTAGCTGAATATTCTTTATATCACCCCAACAAATTTTGACTGTTCGTGGTTTTACTTGTACGTTCTTTGCTTCTTGGTTATCGGCGCTCAATTCCATTGTCGAAATCAATGCAAAACGGATGCTGCTAACTCGCCAACAACTTAATCGAATGAGATATTTTTTAATTATGAATCCCTAATCCTTAGAGACCGTGTATAGTTAATACATTTCATGAAAATGAACATAGAAAATACAGACAATTTACTAACAACACAATTTAATATTCCTATTTCTTGCGGGGGTTACGGGGTTTTATCTGTGGAAAAAAAAGATCCACTCTTCCTAACAAGAATGTTGCAGGAGATGTCAAATGTTAGGTCGAAGGTATTAATATAGCATATTAGTTGTAAACCACAACATAGCGTATTAACCGCCCTCTAAAGGGAACGCAAAAGAAGAAGAAGAAGAAGAAGAAGAAGAAGAAGAAAGAAGAAGAAGAAGAAGAAGAAGAAGAAGAAGAAGAAGCAGAAGCAGCAATAGCAGCAAAAGAAGAAGAAGAAGAAGAAGAAGAAGAAGAAGAAGAAGAAGAAGAAGAAGAAGAAGAAGAAGAAGAAGAAGAAGAAGAAGAAGAGGAAGAAGAAGAAGAAGAAGAAGAAAATCTTTAGTCTCTTTAACTTTCATGTACTGTTAAGTTTGTTGAATGACTACCATTATTGAATTGTGTTTTTCAGACTCACCAGGAATTCGTAGCTGTGATGAACGGCTTCAAAGCCAACAAAAAACTGAACCCAGGTAACTACCAGACTGGACTCTACAAAGACACCCTTCCCGCCTCTGTGGACTGGCGCACCAAGGGATACGTCACTGAAATCAAGAACCAGGGACAGTGCGGTTCATGCTGGGCTTTCTCTACAACTGGCTCAGTAGAAGGTGCACATTTCAAAGCCACCGGAACATTGGTCAGTCTGTCTGAGTCAAACTTGGTCGACTGCTCACAGAAATACGGTAAGAAATTAGCATATTTTCAAACAGCATTACAAATTTAGGCCTTGCGTTGGTTTCAACAGTGGTATCAAGAAAGCCGACCCTCCAGAAAGCAATGGCAAACTACTGGACATAAATTTGCCTAGAAAAACCACACAATAGCAAGGGGCTGTTGGGGTTGGTTCTGCAACGTCCTGTAAAGGATGCGCAACTAACTTTGTCGGCTCTGTGGCTAAGTCCATGCGAACGCCTCGTAATGCCGGGTTCGATCCCAGCTGCGGGCCGTGCGCCTTGCGTTGGTTTCGACAGCGGTATCAAGAGAGCCGACCGTCCAGTAAACAATGGCAAACTACAGGAGGTAAATGCCTAGAAAAACCACACAATAGCAAGGGGCTGTTGGGGTTGGTTCTGCAAAGTTCTGTAAAGCATACGCAACTAACATATACAAATTTAGAGCGTAAAGCCCTATGAGGAATTTTAGACCAAACAAAGATGTAGACAGTAAAGGTTGGACAATGAGAAGCAGCATCGAACTTCAAACTTATCATTCGTCATCTCATCTTGATCCCCTCATAACTTGCCGTGTCGAGATGAAGTATAATTTTAGGGAAAATGCATGCTGGTGATAATGATAATTAATGATAATTAATAAAAATCATAAGTAAAGTAAAAAAGTAAAGATCCCTTTTCAAGCCTTTCGGCGCATCGGGTTTGTGGGAAGAACATCCCATATTTTTACAGACCATCGGCACTAGGTGAGTAATGTGGTCAGCATTACGCCAGCCGTCTTTACTTCACCAGGACAGCCATCCTGGTACCCATTTTAGGCTGGGTCGAATAAAAGTCATAATCTGCTTTAAAATACCACCAATCACTAATATCATTAGGACTAACAGACTGCAATTCTTGGGGCAAATAGAGAGAATAGCAAAAAATAGAAACTGCTTAGACAACAGTTTAATTTGCTTAGTCTAGAAGACAGTGGGGAGGTAATAGCCAGGAAAAATCTACATACATTTGGAGTCACTAAATTAAAAAAAAATTTTTTAAAGATGCCAATTACTGAGATGAAAGGAGGCGGGTGGTATCCTCAGCAATTTACAGAAAGGCCTCGGAATTCTGAAGAAGAAGGGGAAGAAGAGGAAGAAGAAAAATAAGAAGAAGGTGAAGAAATAGGAGGAGTAGAATGTGATGAGGAGGAGAAAAAGAAAAAGATGATGATGTTGAAGTAGGGATGGAGGAGAAAGAAGAACAGAAGAAGAAGAAGAAGAAGAAGAAGAAGAAGAAGAAGAAGAAGAAGAAGAAGAAGAAGAAGAAGAACAAGAACAAGAATAAGAACAAGAAGAAAAGAAGAACAGGAACATAAATATTAGGTACCAAACGGTTAAAGTGATTGAAAAAAGTGATTCTTCATTTAAATTCTTTACCCAACGATGTTGATCACAATATCTGTCCACTCCTGTCTATCTAATGTAGTGCCAATAATCTTTGGTGTCAATGTTTCTTCATGCCATGATGTTGTACTGTCTAACCATATCGATTTGTTTCTCCTCTACAGGTAACCAAGGTTGCAACGGTGGTCTGATGGACGATGCCTTCAACTACATCATCCACAACAAGGGTATCGATACGGAGAAGAGCTACCCGTACAGGGCTGAGGTCAGTTCATTATTATAACAATTTCTGAGTTGTTGCTATTATCTAGCTAGTGTACTTGTCTGTTGGCCACTTGGTACTGGGTTTTAATTTTTCTCTAGATGGGTGTTGCTGTCATTATTGCATGGCACTGGAGAACATCAAATGTAACGGGAAGATTCTCAGACAATTGTCGGGAATTTACGGCAATTATCGACCATGTCACTCTCTATATTGACTAAATGTATGATATCACTTAGGAAGATATTGACCTACTTAGGGAGATTTTGACAGCATCAGTTAGGAATATATGGCCCACATCAATTAGAGAGATAGTGACATCATCATTTAAGTAGGTACTGACCACATCACTCAGAAAAGTATTGACCACATCACTTAGGAAGGTATTGACCAAATCACTCAGAGAGGCATTGGTCACATCACAGGGAGATATTGACTATATCACTTAGGAAGGTACTGACTATATCACTTAGGAGATATTGACTACATCACTGAGGGAGATATTAACTAAATCACCTAAAGAGATGACCCACCCTTAGGGAAGTGTTGACCTACCCTTAGGAAGGTATTGACCCACCCTTAGGGAGGTATTGACCACAGCACATAGGGAGGTATTGAATATATCACTTAGGGAGATTTTGACCACATCAATAAGAGAGATATTGACTACATCACTTAGGGAGATATTGATCACATCAACTAACGCGAGAATGATCACATCTGATAAAGAGAAAATAACTGTGAGCATATGGAGATGTCATTTACATTACAGAAAAAAACTTTTTAAGCTGATTAAGGGAAGAAGAAGTTTAAAGGAAGTAGGGACAGAAACAATTAACCGTGTATATAGGAACTACACAAAAGAAATCAGAAGAGCTATCAGAGGAGATAAAAAAAACAGTTTATTATAAATACCTGTAATAGAATTAAACAACTCCAGATGCAAGGAAGAGACAGAGACATGTTTAAAGAAATTAAAACATTAAAAGGTGAATTCAGACCTTCTTTTCATGTAATAAGTGATAAAAAAGGTAACATATTAACGGAAACCAAAGAGACATTAGAAAGATGGAAAAAAAAGTACTGTAGAGAAATGTATGAGGATCTGACAAGTAATTCAAAAACAGCTTATGCAAGTTATGAAAAAGATCCAGAGCCTTTACTGGATGAGGTACGATCAGCAATATACAGCCTGAAGAAAGGAAAGTCACCAGGATGAGACGAAATAACAGAAGAACTAGTTCAAGCATGAGGAGAGGCCAACGTCTGAATCTACCATGCACTTTGCACAAAGATCTATAACAGTGGCATTTGGCCTAAAGTATGGAAAATAACAATTTATATCCCTTTCCCAAAGAAAGGAAATCTGAAACTGTGCCATCACCATTAATGTCATACTAGCAAAATCCTCTTACGAATTATCATAAAGAGGATTGAAAGAAAATTACAATATGAGCTACACGATGCACAAGCGGGTTTCAGACAGGGCAGAGGAACTAGGGATTACATCTTTGAAATGAGAATAATTTTTGAAAAAATGCAGAGAATACAACATATATCTTCATGACTGTTTCATTGATTATAGCAAGGCATTTGATTGTGTCCAACATCAGAAACTGTAGACTATTATAAAAAGTATGGGGTTTCCATCGCATTTAGTGCATTTAATTGAAAATCTTATCACGAACAACAAGAAGCCATCAGAGCAGCTGATGAAACATCGGATTGGTTCGAGGTGCAAAAATGCGCGAGGCAGGGCTGCATTATCTCACCATACCTATTCAATATATAAGCAGAAAAAATAATGGGAAATTTCAAAAATTACCAGACTTGTGACAGGTATGATCCACTTACAACTGGTAGCAATCCTGTTCGTGAACTTCGCTATGCAGATGACACAGTCCTCATTTCAAACAGCTTAAAGGGAATATAAAATTTAATATTGTCTGTCCAAAAGCACAGTGAAGATCAAAATCTGTTCTTGAATTTAAAGAAAACGAAAATAATGTCCACAGACAAAATTAACTGCCACCCAAAAGTAACTGTAAATAATAAAGAAATTGAAAATGACACAAACTTTGGATATCTAGACTCTGTAATAAATATCAATGGGGACTGACAAAAATAAAAGGAGAATGTCCATAGCAATGCAAAGATTTAACAGCCTTGAAAGTCTATGGTTAAGCAAGGAGATCAAAATGAGAATTTTGAGAGCATGCATCTTCCCTGTGGCTACAAACGGATGTGAATCGTGGGCTATCTCACAGTCCTTAGGAAAGAGAATAGGGGCTTTTGAGCTGAAATGCTATAGAAAGATTCTCAGAATATCTTGGACAAAGAAGAAGCGAAATACTGACATCTTGAAAGATCTGAACATCAAGGAAGATTGGCTAATAAACAGCATCTTGTCTCGGAAGCTGAAATATTTTGGTCATATCAAGCGCCACGACGGATTGGAAAAAAGTATAGCAGAAGGCATGGTACCAGAAAGGAAAGGCAGGGACCGACTGACACAAAGATGGGCACAGGATATAAGTGACTCCTTGAGTACGAAAGTACATGAGGCATGAGAGCTGTCGAGAGACCGAGTTTCTTTCAGGCAGACGGTGAAGAGAGCGATGTTCGGCAAAGGACCTGCTACATGATGATAATGATGATAGCGATGTTCGGCAAAGGACCTGCTACATGATGATAATGATGATAGGGAGACCTTATGACATGGTGAGATATTGGCCGCACATTTCAGCACGATACCATATCGCCGAGCGATATGCTGACTTTACTATCCAATGAAATATTGACTTCATCACACAGCAAGATTTTGGCCATATAACATCATCAAGCAAAATAGGAGATGTTGAACACCCGTACCTAGAGAAAATGGTGAAGCAAAGAGTGTCTACGGGCTTTGGGCACCACTGGATACTCTGAGGAAAGACAACACGAGTATTTGACAAGGTGACAACGAGCATCATCAGTACAGAGACTCTTTGCTGACTAACGATTCACGACAAGACGGACATACAACCAAACTACGACCGCCACCGTTAGTATTGGAACTCGGCGCTGGCTGCTGAGGATGGGGACAGAACGCCTATAGCAATGCCCCGAGTGCTGTGATGTCAATTCTTAACTCAATTCAATTCGCTGGCTGACGAGAAGGGTGACGGAGCTAACAGAAGATTTAGAATCTCTACCCAGATAAACCCAGACGAATCTTCTTCAAGGTCGACATGTGAACCCTTTTTTCCCTCTTCCATAGAAAATTAGTGTCATGACATGTTATGAAACCAACATTATTGTTCCTTCTGCAGGATGAGAAATGCAAGTTCAAGAAAGCCGATGTTGGTGCAACCATTAAATCTTTCAAAGATATTGTATCTGGCAATGAAGACGATCTCCAGAAAGCTGTAGCCGAGGTACATATTCCAATACATATGTAGAATTGAAGGGATGAGTATATTACGAAAGCGGGAAAGAAAGAAAGAAAGAAAGAAAGAAAGAAAGAAAGAAAGAAAGAAAGAAAGAAAGAAAGAAAGAAAGAAAGAAAGAAAGAAAGAAAGAAAGAAAGAAAGAAAGAAAGAAAGAAAGAAAGAAAGAAAGAAAGAAAGAAAGAAAGAAAGAAAGAAAGAAAGAAAGAAAGAAAAGAAAGAAAGAAAGAAAGAAAGAAAGAAAGAAAGAAAGAAAGAAAGAAAGAAAGAAAGAAAGAAAGAAAGAAAGAAAGAAAGAAAGAAAGAAAGAAAGAAAGAAAGAAAGAAAGAAAGAAAGAAAGAAAATAATATATTGGTATTAACCTCGTTGAAACCCTGAAGAGGTGTTATCATCTTGTGAAATTAGATTAGTGTACAGACGTTCATCCCAGCCTGGAATGTAGCAAATAAATGGCTTTGGGTGGTTCTTACTCTGATGAATAAATAATAATGCAAAAACATCAACATTTAGAGAATTGTTATATAATCAGAAGATCAAAAACTGTAACTTATGCCCCGTGAAAAGTTAAAGAACTATCACATAAATGGAACAAAAATTACATATACTCGTAAATAAATGCCTGAGGAAATTTATGAACATTAGAGAGGATAAATTCAAGAAAGGTTAGGTAATATGAGAAAGGTTTGAGCATTGTCTCAGTGTTGGGTATTTACCCAAGCATTTCAGTGTCTTCAGCCTTGTATAAATATTCAACACGTCTGTATTTCTGCAAACAGATTGGCCCCGTCAGTGTTGGGTATTTACCCAAGTATTTCAGTGTCTCCAGCCTTGTATAAATATTCAACACGTCTGTATTTCTGCAAACAGATTGGCCCCGTCAGTGTTGGGTATTTACCCAAGTATTTCAGTGTCTCCAGCCTTGTATAAATATTCAACACGTCTGTATTTCTGCAAACAGATTAGCCCCGTCAGTGTTGGGTATTTACCCAAGTATTTCAGTGTCTCCAGCCTTGTATAAATATTCAACACGTCTGTATTTCTGCAAACAGATTGGCCCCGTCAGTGTTGCAATTGATGCCAGCCAAGACTCCTTCCAGAGCTACGCAGGTGGAGTCTACGACGAGCCCGCCTGCAGCACCACTGAGCTTGATCACGGTGTCTTGGCAGTTGGATATGGCGTCCAGGATGGCAAGGATTACTGGATCGTTAAGAACAGGTCAGATCTTTTTTTCTGAAAGCTTATTATTCATCGCCCTTCCTGTCTCCCCGTTAACACATACACATATATATGTACACACACATGCTCTCTCTCTCTCACAAACACACAGACCCACGCACATATACGTGCGCGCACACACACATGAGTGAAAACTGTAGGCTTATGCAAGGGATAAACCAGATATTACTAGACACACAAATCTCGCCCCCTCCCCCTTTTTCAATATTTGACATGGATATCCCAGGGAGATTCCAGGATGGGAGGAAGTGTTGAGCTGAAGCTACAGTGCTGGTGCGTTTTGCGACTTTTTTGGGGATATACACACACATTTTTATTTTCTCAAATTAAAAATAAAAAAAAATAAAAATAAAAAAAATAAATGAACATTCATAAAAACAACGCCTAATAATTACTAAAAGGACTTCAACACCTCGCCCCTCTCTTTTTTTCTTTGTAAGTTTAGGGGCCCCAATGTGGGGGAAAACAAGCATAGACCCACTGCCTCTATAAGAAGCGTGTAGTAGAAGTCCACTAACTGGGGAATTCCTTCGAAATCGCAGTGCATCTCCCCGAGAGGCAATGAACCTCAAGTCTGCAAACAATTAGGCCAGATTTGTAAAACGGGTGCACACGCAAAACTCATGGCCTTAACTACAGCTAGAGTCTAGACAAGGATGAACAACCAGGACTTTCAGCCGGGCTTTGTAGCCGGTTAACACAAACAGACAAACAAGCAAATTACTTAACCACTTTGCTTACAGAACCACTGATAGTCACTCCATAATTCACTAAAACTTTCTATCACTCTCTCTGCAATATAGCGACTCATTTACATGTTTCTCTGTCTATTCCACAGCTGGGGAGAGAGCTGGGGAGAGAAAGGTTACATCCTGATGTCCAGGAACAAGAAAAACCAGTGCGGTATTGCCACAAGTGCCAGCTACCCAATCGCATAAATCATCAACTTAAAGCGCTGACGGTTCACAAACTGTCATGACATTCGGACGTCCAGCTGTTACTTTCTTGAGACGACTTCCGAAGAAACAGCACAAATCAAATCAGAAAACAGCAAGATTTACTCACATAAGAAATGCATTTGAAAACAACCCATGAGTAAACGCATATTTTTTTTTCCACGAAAGATTTTTTTTTTAATAAAAAAAAAAAGTTGATATCAGTATCAGCATGTCTTCGTCGACGTCATTATCATCATCACCATCTTCTGCATCACCACCACCATCACTCGACACCATCACTCGACATATCACTCGACACCATCACTCGACATATCACACTCGACACCATCACTCGACATCATCACTCGACACCATCACTCGACACCATGGCCACCTTTATTATCATATTGTACCTTAGTGAGTCAAACGGGATTAACAGTCTATGTTTACATTCCGTTACTATCGAGTGCAATCGTTTCAATATCATGGATGAGATGAATTGTAATAAAAAGGAAAGATTTTCGCGAGCTGTTTGAGCTCTTATGTTCAGCCAGGAATTAAAGAACAGAAAAAAATAAAACATTAAACAGGTGAAAACGACGTGAATGAGAACTCATGTGTACCTCAAGCACTCGAAATCCCTTATCTCTCATTAGTTTACAATAGAAAATTATGGACCAATCAGGATGTTTATCATGTCAAATTTAAATTTAGGCTCTTAAGATGAGTTCAGCACAAATGGAGGTGAAGTAGGGAGAAAGTATGTCAAATGCCTAAAGCATATATCTGCTATCACATGTTTGTTTTCAACAACCAAAACTGCAGCGGGAACAATGCTCTGCTATCTGTACACTTTTAGAAGATAACATGATCTTCCCTTACCAGAGGAAACTGACTTAAGATTAATATTTCAAAGATAACAATATAAATGACATTATCGTACATATCACATATGCGACAAACTTAAAAAGAAGAACAGAGACGGGGGAAAAAAGAAAGGAAAATACAGAGTAGCGACAGGTGGTTATCTGACAGGTTGCAAAAAATAGGACGCGATACTTTATATATAAAATAGCGATATACATAATTTATGCAAAAATATTAGAACAGAGAGTTAGAGCTATAGCGGAACAGCACTTGAGTAAATTACAATTTGGTTTCAGGAAGAAATAGTAGATTTTTACCCCACCAGGACATCATACAAGCGATAACACCCGATGACACAAAGTGCCACCATGTGAATGAGGATCACTGTGGAGAGGTCTCCCAGAAACCGTGTTCAGCCATTAGACCATATTTATGGTCGGGCTATAAATGCGGCCCCTGGCAAGAGCCAGAGCAGGGCTTCAAATAACGAAAAAATGCATCTCACAAGGAGATGACTGGATTATTTAAAACTGCATAGGTTTCAGGAAAGGAAAAAGGTTGCACAGATGCATTATTTATACTAAGTCAAGTTTGCAAGAAAACCATTAAATATTACGGCGAACTGAATATTGTGTTTGTAGATACAGAAAAAGCTTTTGATAGAGTAGATAGAAACAAACTATGGGCTATTCTTGAGGATTATGGGATACGAGGACAATTGCTGGATACAATGATGGCCATGTACCACGCTTCCCAAGCGCAGTGAGAACACAGGAAGGCTTATCTGGCATGTTTACAGTCAATACAATGTTGAGGCAGGGATGTGTTCTCTCTCCTCTTGTATTTACTATATAAATAGAGAGATCACCAAATGAGGCCATCTTTAAAAAATGCGACCCTGAATATTAAATAAAAGGAGGAACCTTACTTTCCAGAGGAAGAATTAGATCCACACACAATAAACGAACTACAGTTTGCATGGGATCAGTGACTGTTTTACAATCTGGGAAGTAGACTGCAAGAACATTGAAACAGGCTAAAATCAACATGTATAAGACTAAAACCTAAGCAGTGCAGCTCAGCAGAATTCCTATTTCGCTATATATGGGGTTGAATGTTACTTTTCTAATGTAAGTTTGAGAAATGAAATATCTAGGAAGTATTTTCTCGGAGGACAATAGAATAGAACGGGAAATATGAGTGCACTTATATACCAACAGACACCATTATTAGGATATCAAAACATAAAGTATGGGCGCTATGAAACATAAACAACATATTCATACCAGCACAGTGCTAGCCGTACCAAACTTGGACATTATAAAAGGCTAACCTACGTAAAATTAACACTTGTGAATTGAGATGCTTATGAAAAGCCGCCGACTTAACTATCCAAGACAAAGGTAGAAATCATATTATCAGACAGACTGTAGGAAAAACAACAGGCAGCAAATTCATTGGGAGACAGAAGATCAAATGGTCTGGTCATATAGTAGGAATGCAGCTAGAGCAACTACTAACGCAGGCGCAACACAAGAAACTATCTGAAATGGAAGCAAGAGGTTGCCCTAGGGAAAACATGGATTGATGACATTAAAGAGCCTACACATAGAAATGGAATGACATTAGCTAGTGCTGCCCATCAAGCAATCGATCGCAAACTCTTCCTCCCCACAACGCTTAACGGCTGAAGTTGAAATTGATGATGATTACGATCTCCTGTCTTTAACTGTCCATGATGGTATTACCATTTATTTCAGTGTGCGCAGGTATATAGATCCAAGGGATGGAGTTTAACTGCGACTTCCGAATGCTTTCTACCCATTCGGAACGTAGACTACCTGTTGCTATTTTCTGAAGTTTGTTCATGGAGCATGAAGCGATTAGGGCACAGACAGCCGCTTGTTTCGCAACCCATTCGAGTGCTCTGGGGGCAACCGTTATCTCCACGGTCATTGTTGACTTTGTTAATTTTTTATTGTTTGTCAGTTTTGTTGTTGTTGCTGTGTATGCCCATGGTGATCTTGACCCAGACTTCCCAGACCCATCTGTGGCAGATATCTGACTCCTGCAGCACCTCCATAGTGTCATGACAACCTTTGTCAAAAATGCTTGTCTGCTGTTGAATCCGTCCAGTCTTTTCCGTGACTGATCTCGTCTACGTCACATACTTTCTGGATTAGATTTTCTACCACAGCCATCCAGAAGTAGCCTCTATTGAGACACACTTTCCGATATCTATTTTATGAGATTAGGTCAACCATAGAAACTGTAACTGCTGCGCAAAAAAGAGATAAGAAATTCATTACTTTTTACAATGTGATCTTTGTCCTAAAACCCTTATCGTAGAAGTCTACATTTAAAAAACTTATCTGTAGCTTTACACAACTAGTTTAACTTTACCAGCTTAAAAAGTTTTAACTGTTGATCGTACATATGTTTGGATTCGTGACCAAACACATGAGCCAAACTTATACCCAAAATAAAAAAAAAAAAACATGTTAGTTGCATATCCTTTCCATGACTCTGCAGAACCAACAACAGCATTTTTTTTAGGCTGTTGTGTTTTACTAGTTAAATGTTACGTTCAGTAGTTTGCCATTGCCTACTGAACGGTCAGCTCTCGGTACCACTGTCAAAACTAACGCAAGACATTCTGTTGCGAAATCATCCGCATCTGGGATGGAAATCTGCATCCTGACATCACTGCATTACCAAGCGCGTTCGCAATCTTTAAGCTAGAGTGTCCGACTTACATACATATACTTAGATATACAGGCATTTACAAAATATTTGTGATCTGCAGTCATATGGCTGTCATGTCTGAAACATAAAACACTTCGAAAGAAGAATCCTGGTTCCAAACTGTAAGGGTTGGGTGAGACGGTCAGCTGCTACTAACGTAAATGTTTAATGGAAAACTGCAATGCTGTTTGTTGATTGGTCTCGAAATTTGTAGGTTCTGTCTGGCTTCAGGTCCAGTGTTTCCACATTCTAGCTAGCATAGTTGCTTCACGTGACCTTGTCGCTTGGGAACAAACACAGCTGCTGCAATCAACAACGCAGAATGACACTCAGGTCCCGATGTAAATTCTTCCAGTTTGTTCATCCTGATTCTCACACTCTATTCAGTCACAGATTATGCAATCACAGCCATCGCTGCTAACTTCCAAAATAATCCTACATTAATCATTCACACAACGTTTAGTACACTTCAGTTACATTGAATACATCACAACCGATCCGATTCGATTTTGAAAAAAAAAAATTTAAAAAAAATGAAAATTTTCACGTTCAGCCAGCATCTCCCAAAGGGGGAACTTTTGGTTATAATTGTGACAAGATTATTTGTGCCACATGGAATGTCTAACATTGCTCGCCACCAAGTAGCCCTGAAAGGACTCTTGTAGTGTTGATGCCATCAAAGAAGGCAGACCCAAATACTGTCCCCACCAATGACGAGACCGTCTACCGGCCAGCCAATGGGCCACCCTGTCGCCGGTGTATCACAGCCGAATTCTTTGACCTCTGGTACACAAATGACCACGAACCAACCTCAGGTCTTTTCTCGTTTTTCTCTCCGGTCCCGAGTCTCTCGAGCCGTCGTCTCTTGCAAGGGCTTTTTGCTCCACTTGGTGTGACCGTGGGTCACCATGCAAAGCACGGTCAAAACAAAAAGTAAGTAAAAAATTAAGGTCCCTTTTCACGCCTTTAGGCGTATAGGGCATATAGGGCTAGTCCTTTATTTTCATACACCAATCGGACCAAGATTGGTGATGTGGTAAGCATCAAGCCTACCGCCTTTTGCTTCCCGTGACTGAACCCGGTACCCAATCAAGGCTAGGTCGATCTGGGAGTCAAAGTCATAAAAAAAAAAAGGCACGCTCAGCTAAGGAGCTAATCCACTACCTTTCAATCCGCACGCGAGCGTCTAGCCACTACGCAACGGCGACTCCTCATCACAAAGAGAATATGAAAATAAAACAGAATATTTTTTCTTCTGGAAAGCTTAGAGATGTTTCAAGGTTTTCACTAGGCAATCTTACGTTCGGTAGTTTGCCAATGTTTTCTGAACGGTTCGACATGGAACATACTGGGAGAGAAGACACAACTGATTCACAAGGTTAGAGTTT